ACACGGGCCGGAGAACCGTACAGCTGGCGAGTCATCTGTCCTTGCTACCGCTGCCGCTGCCCGCTGTCCCGCTACCCACTGTCCGCTGTCCGCTGCCAACTGCCAGCTGCGCTCTGCCCGCTGTCCTTGCTACCGCTGCCGCTGTCCGCTGTCCGCTGTATGGATTGGGGGATTGTTGTGGACTGGACTGGGAGTCTTCTGCTGAGCTGGGCTGCAATGGGCTTAACTGGACTGGGCTCAGCATAAATGTGCTGGAATGAAGTGAGCTGGACTGACTTGGATTGGGTTGAATTGGATTGGGCTGAGCTGGGATGGACTACAGAAATTACAGAATGGATTAAACTGCTGAAAGCCAATGAACTGGGTGCCAATGGCGATGGTTTGTTGCCCTGCTTGTAATTGGCGGTGGTGGTTGTATTGGAACCAGGAAAAGCAGAAGCAGGGAAGACCATGAATAAATTCGAGCGATGACAGGATGTGAGCTAGGACCGGTGTTCCCGATGGAACTGAGACTCCGCCTGTGTCTCCAGCTGCCCCGAGCTTTGTCTCGTCTTTGTTCTCCGCTCTATCCCACCGTCTGGGGCCGGGCAGGTGCGCAGAACAGGACTCGATCGTCTAATCGAGCCGGCATCGTGTCTATCAGACGCCGTCAGATGACTGCCTAATTTATTGTCGGATGCTCGCGCCGCCCGCTGGAGACGCACGCTGACAGGTCCCCCCTCTGGGGGAGGAGACGGGGGGGGGGGTACCGCACGCGCACGTGACAGAAACTGATCGGAATCGGCATGTCGACGGTAGGCGAGCCGGGAAGGCGTGCGGAGAGCGATAACGAATGGCAAGTGTTCTTGTTTGGTATGATGACATTGCTGGTGCGAGCGCAAGCTAGCATATTATCAGTAACGCCACACCATTCTTACCGACACAGGAGATCGGATAATGGGCAAATTAGTGGATCTAGTGGACGCAGAAAGTAAGGATGGTGCGTAAATGTTTCTTTATTATTCATTTTGATTAGCACCCACAAAGGATATCGCCCTTTCGATGTTTATCAGTGTCATTTACATAAGACGGTTTTGTTGAGTTGTCATGAGGCAGCATTTCAATTAATTTGTCATGTCAGTTAAGGCCTTTGAGTCCGTTCCAATCGTCCGTATACAGAGAATATGCCTAATATTCATTGCCAGCGTTTCGAAAACTTCCCCTTTTTGCGTGACCTCCTATGCATATATAAACACCTACATGGTCAAGAGACACAATGAATGGCATACCGCTGTCTCTATCGCTGTCAACGCTGCTGCTGCAAAGCGACATATTTCTGGTACTGATTGCGACCGACGCGATTCAAGTTTGATATGAAAAATGTCACCTCAAGGTGACTTTCCGCTACATGCTGGCATGTATTGCGCATGGTATTAGAGCTCGAGAAATATCCGTCTAGTGCAAATAGGCGGGCAATTATGTCGTGCGTTTGGTTGCCAACTGTCAGTCATGGGACGACTTTCCTGTTGGACTCCGAGCTCACTCAGTAAAGTGATCCGCCTTGATAATGAAATCAGGACAGATTATATCAAGTCATTGACTACCGTTCGTGCAGGTCGTTAGGATTTTGTATCGCTTCTTCTTGATTCAATACGGATATTTGCGAATATTTCAGAGCGACCACCATATCCCTCGCGGGCCCGGGGGGGGCGCTTTTCGCCCCCCCCCCTCTGGCGAATATTTGCGATAGCTCCCGAACGCTTAGGGATAGGAAAGCGAAACTTTCAGTACCTTTTCTCCCATCAATTTGACATCTTCTGAAGTAAAAAATTTGGACCTAGCCCCCTTGATGACGTCACAAGGTCCATTTTTCTAGACCCCTGCACGGCAAACTTCGGCGTCACAGACGCAAACTTCAAATAGCTGCTAAAAATAGAGTTTTAGAGATAAAGACAAATTACGAGCACGGTTGTGTAGCGTTTGACCTAGAGAAAAAATAGAAAAATAGTTTTGGTGACCTGAGGTCAGAGGTCAGGTCAACGACCCCGAAATGTGGTTTTAGTTTTTTCGCAAATGACTTCGACAAAAATGGCCCTAGAGCTACGGCAGTGGTACCATCGCATTCGCCTTGTCAAGCCGCGTCGAATGATATATATTTTGTTCGTAAAAGGTCAAATTTTATGTTGACCTCATGTGACCTCGAATGACCTCTGGTTGACCTTGACACATGAAAGGTCGTTTATGATGGATGGATTTGTATCCGCTGATCACGAATCTGGCATCTATTTTCCTCTCAGCCTTCATTTAGAGCTTCCGGATGGCAAAACGATTCTCTTGTGGAGTAAGTCCAATTTAATCCTATAATATCTAAAATTGTCTTACTTATTATAACTAACTTGAATTAGTGAAATAGCCTCTAGCAGGGATACTCTTCTGTGACCTTGACCTTTGAGAAGCCTTGTATCGTAAGATGAACCACAAATAGGGAACTGATAAGCCTCAAAACATTTCAAAACATCTTGGAAGTTAGCACGCAAGATGTGCGAAAAAGTGCCAAGTTTGAGGTCAATTTTGAGCGTGACCTTGACCTTGACCTTTGATTTTGAGCATAGTTTCGGAATCCTCAGATTTTCTTCTTTCGTTTGACACCCAATTTTGCCGGTTTGATGCAGCCTGCCGTCCTCTAGAAGGCTTACTTTGAGATCACTACACATGTGCCGGTTTTTGCCTTTGACCTTGAACTCTGACCTTGAAAATTGACCAAAGGTCAAAAATTTTAGGTGCTTTAGAATCGTCTCGTAAGGACCTTTCGTTTGGTATCGCTTTTGTTTCCGTAGCCCCTTTATTTACGGAGTTAGACAGGGGGGGGGGGGCGAAACCCCCCCCCCCCGGGCTGCGGTGGTTGGGATTACCCCCCGGGCCCGGCCGGGATTATGGTCTGATTTTGTTTTCGTCGTCTTTCCAACCACTACTGAGACTGACATTTCGGTGTGTACTTTTTCAGAGCAAAAGTCGCAGCCCTGGCGAGCAAGGACAGTATGGATCCGCTGACTTCTGTAGCCAGTGAGTATCCGGGTTAGTCGGAGAGCAGCACCTCAAACTTCTTGGCTTTAGCAGAGGCTTTAGCATTTTAGCAGAATTTATGTACTATAAGTCTGTATGTATGTATGTATGTATGTATGTATGTATGTATGTATGTATGTATGTATGTATGTATGGATTGATATCACTAGCCTCTCACATACAGCGTGGCGATTACGGCTAAGTCAAGTCCAAGGCCCTATAAAGAAGTCAAGTCCAGTGCGATTCACATCGAAGTGAACTCTGATGTTTCCGATTTTAGCCTGTGCTATCTAGATCAGCCGCTTTACACTTGAAGTAAGCTGTAACCAGTGTGAACCAGACGTTCGCACTTCTCTGCGTCCAAGTCAATGAAATAACTCAGCTGAAAGTCAACATCTCAACAGCAAGAATAATTTAATCATGCCAAATAATAAGAGTTACCAGAAATGGCGAAAAATAGTATAACAAATAGAGAGAAGAACACAAAACGCTTCTGAACCTAAGCAGACGCGCAGGGATGGGCAGGGTTAGAGGTCTGCGGCTGGATGTGGCTGCCGTCCCGAAAACTCTGGAAAATGGCGCCGCGGGGGACGTTGGTCGCTTGTCGGGCCGCGTCAGGCCACGTCGAGCCGTGTCGAGCCGTGTTGAACCGTGTCGAACCGCGCCAAACCGTATCACGAAACGACCTACCAGTTCCGCTGGAGACCCGTGATCCCAACCGTGCGAGATTTTGAATGGAAGGGCTGGGACATATAGGGATTTACATTATCACGAAGCAGATGTATATTGATAGAGACAAGTAGAAAAACACGGAACAAATAGTGCATGGACGCGTTTCGATTATTAAATCTTCATCAGCATGGCATAATCACATATCTTGTTTTATATCTATCATATCATATCATACATATCTATCATATCTTGTTTTCTCTGTGATTATGTCATGCTGATGAAGATTTAATAATCGAAACGCGTCCATGCACTATTTGTTCCGTGTTTTTCTCACGAAGCAGACTTTTAGCAAATTTACTTCGCTACTGGCTGGCAGCGCTTATTGTAGTTTTTATTTTTGAAATTGGCTTTTTCATAGCTTGATGATAGCAAAACAGGGAACTACGTAGGTAAGCTTCAGGACTAGTCGTATGAATTCCAGCGGGTGAATAATGGATATGTTTTCAATTTTGGAAAGCTCACTCACCTTAGAACGAGGTGAGTGATAATTACATACAGCTACCAATTAGAAACTGGGTCTAAGTGAAGATGTGAACTTATGCTGCAACTTAGTGAAATCAGTCGCATGAATTGGCTTCATGCGACTAAAAGTATGTTTTGTTTGAAAGCGAGATTCTTGTGACTTATCAGCGTTCAGTATTATTCATGCCGGTACTGATTCAACTGTCGATCTTTCAAGTAGGTATTCGCGCGACTCATTCATTCTCTTTGTGGATGTTTGATGCCTTCAGAATCAAAGCGCTCCTTCATATTTGAGAGGCCAGCCTTTCCAGTTTCCCAGCGCATCTGAACTCACTCATACGTTCTGTAGGCCAGCACCCAGACCATACCCCTGTGCGTGCAACTGTCTTAATTGGGGCGCGTCGCTCCCCGCTTCGCCCTGTGCATTCGTGCATGTGCCGTGTGCGTGTGTTGTGCTGCTGCGAGCGGGCGGCGGCTCTGGCGGCGGCCTGCGCCGCTGGGCGGCCGGCGGCCGGCGGGCGGGGCAACACGTCACCGCCCGTGCCCTAATGAAGCGGCGCCGCGCTCAATAACTACCCGCCACCAATTCGGCCGAACATTACCGGCACCCACGGTAATTGGCCCAATGACGCGGCAGCCGGCGGCGCCGCCCCCGCCGCCGGCTCGGCCAATGGGAGGCCGCGCCGCGCCGGCCGGCCGCGGCGCCGACCAATGAGCGGCGGCGGCGCGCCGGCCGCCGGGGAGGGGCGGGGTGAGCGCGGCGCGAGCAGCGCTGAGCGGGCGCGGCCAGGCGCGCCGCGCCCGCTCAGACCGTGTCGCCGCGCCGCCGCGATCGCCGCCGCCGCCGCCGCCCGTGCCGCCGCCGCCGTGCCTTGCGTGCCGCCACAGTGGAGGGCCCCGGTCGACTCCGTCACTCGATCGACATGTTGATCTCGGACGCTGCGCCCGCGTCGGCGGGCGCTGCGCCGCCGGCGCCCTCGTGGAAACTGACGCCGCCGCGCACTGCTGCACCGCTGCCCGTGCACCCACTGCCCACCACCCCGCACCCAGGTACGGTCCCAGATACGCACATCAGGTGTCAAATATTCAACAGATGAGTACCTCTTGATGGCCCTCTCTGATGTCTTATCCCTATTAGAGATGCCACTTTTGAACCCGCGAACCCGCTTTCTGCGGGTTTTCAAAACCCGCAGGGTTTTTGGCGGGTTCGAGAAGCAAAACTTGTCGTGTGGCGGGTATTTGGCGGTCAGACTTAAGAACCTATAAATTTTATTTTTGTATTTTTTTAGATGCAAAACACAATGCCAAGTGCATTTGCTCAGGTTAACAATACAATATTCATCAAAACAACTTCTAAAACAGAACCAAAAATAAAAATATATCAAGGAAGCACATTTCAAATGCAAAACTGAAAACAACCAGCAATAGCATCCACAGTCCAGCAATGACCAAACCAGGGAGGGTACAAGCAACAAACTACAAAGCATAAATAAATGCTGATGAAAACATTCCATAAAACATAAAAGAACCTGAAAGCAAACTTATAGGAAGCTGAACTGAAGTCTATGTGCAGTGTGCACTAGATATACATTATAAGAAACCAGACTAAAATGAGATGTTGAAAATCAGAGCAAATGCCACATGTTACTTTATTTGCGTCTGGTCGGCATAAAAAAGAGCTATCAGCTAAACAAAATTTGATGCAAATTCATTGATTACCTATCCTTAATCCTACTCTATGTTCTGTCCCACCCTATATTACGAAAATAACACACCAATTACCCTTACAAAAAATCAAAATATTGACTGGCATCAGGCATGCGGCCCAAACATAACGCAAGACAATACTGGCGCACTTCCGACATTCTGACAAGGATTGGCATTTGACTGCGTCAATTTTGGTCTCTGAGGCAAAGGAAAGCTGTCATTGATGACGCAATAATAATTTTACAATCAATTTTTCTGTCTTGGTTTTTGAATACCTCAAAATAGCAGTTATACATGTTTCAAAACCACGTATTTCTTTTATTTCTTTTGTCTTCTTATGTCCTTATCATTTGTATGCTGAGAGAGGACCAGCCAGAGAGGATTACCAAGACCAGAGGCCTCTTGCACCAAGCTACCTAGCTAGGTAAAATCGAAAAACCGGTTTCAGAATAATATAATCTAACGGTGGTAAATTTGTTTGCAATAGCCCAATACATAATCCTACATGTGCTTGCTAAATTTTGCATGCAAATTGTTACATTTGAGACTTGGACTGGGTATACGATGCAAAATAATCCAAGCATTGGTGCAAGAGGATTTTGGTGCAAGAGGCCTCAGATCTATAAAATTATTACATTTAATTTCGTATTTTCTGTCTCTTTTTCTTAACCGGTGAATTAACTCTGAATTGTAAAACTGTAGCTGTTGTGTAAAATAATTTTATCAGAATGGCACATGAATATGCATTATGCAACGCTGTTTTCGCAACAAGTTCGCACTAACTACGGCTGCAAGAATTTAGTCGCTGTAACTTTCTTGCAATCAGCTGTTGGCGACGCTTCTGACGCATGTTCCCAGAAATCCGTGGTTCATTGGTGCTTAGTTGGTTTTTGCTGGGATTTTGCATAATTTGTTTTATGTGTAGATCGACTGGATACTCATTATTCACCGTGTCACTATTTATTTTTAACTGGAAACCGCATATCTTTTTATATCAACATTCATTTTGATAACAATATCATTCCAGAAGCCTAACATCAACATTGAGAGGCAGCCAGAGTGAAATTTTGATCCTCAGCCAATGCTGAAGGGTAAGGTGAAAGAAAGATTTTACTGAACTCTTTTCAGAAAGGCATTTCAAATGTATTGATGTATTCATTTGCCACTATCCAGTGTGCACTTCCTGAGGGCTTAGCATAGCAATTTCAAGTCCTTACTATTTGTTTGGCTGTCTTTTTTTCTGCACAGCAATGAAGCAAGTAAGGTTTATATAGCTCTAGCACTGACCCAGCTGTATTTTTTTCTCGCAAAAGCAGGTTTTTAAAATTGCGGGTTTTTTGCGGGTTCGGCTCAGCCAAAATCAGCTTGCGGGTAGTTGTGGTTGGGCAAGGGGTAGCTGCGGGGCGGAGCGGGTAATGAAATTGCAAATTTGTGGCATCTCTAATCCCTATGCATTCTTGATTTTGTGCCTGCTGTGTATTCTTTTTTTTTGTATATGTGGTTCAGATTGACCTTATGCATTGAGAATTGCTCATAGGTGAATTTTTTCCCCAAAATTGCAGCATCCCATATGTTTCACACAGGCAATCATTTTGAACAATATCGTGGCACGGGGCGGCCCATATTGTTAGTTTTTGCTCCACTGAAAATTTCTACCATGTTTCATGTGCGCATCCCAGTTTACCATTGAGGTATATGTGGATATTTGTCAGAATATCTAATAATCTTCTCATGCAGCTATGTTGGGGCAGCATTATGTGAACGGACGTCTCGATGCCGGACCGCCGCTCAGTGTCCCGTAAATCCCGCTTACACCGTGCGTCAAAGTCTGCACTGAAAACAATTCAACCCGCGTACAGCGAGTAAAACCTGCTGCTGGCGGGTAGGGGAGAACGGGGTCAATTGTAACATTTTTTGCATTTTATCACTTGGTGAAAAGACGTTTGCAGTTATAAAGTTCTTTCTTTTATTATCAGAAACTACGATGTTTTGTCTTTAAAATGCAGTTAAAACATTTCCGAAATAACTTCTTTTTCGGGTCAAAATTGTTGTCCGAAAAAGTCAATTCAGCTGTTACAATTCACCCCAGATACGGGGTCAAAAGTAACACCACCCGGGGACAATTGTAACATGTTAACTTACAGGCTACAGCAACACATTTTTTCCCAAAAATTTGACTTAACGAAAGTATTGGACACTTGTTCATCTTCCCAGACTTGGTAGGTACGTTTCTTCTCAGGAAAAAAGGCTTAAAACCTCGCACTTATGCAGGGGTTCGATGGACCTCCTCTCCCTCGGTTTTTCGCAAATAAATTTCGTAAAAAACTGCCGATTGCGATAAAACTTACAGTTCTCTTAATTCTAGCAATGTTTCATCTTCCTCGAAAATTTGACGAGTTTGACATAATGGCCACTGACCTATAGCCTGTTACATTTGACCCCTGCAAAAATGTTACAATTGTCCCCGTCGCGCCTTGACATATTTTAGACGAAACTGGTGCAAAAAAGATGTTGCATGTACAGCATTTAATGCTTTCAATTTATGGACAACAAGCCTGCTAACGCTTACACAAAGTCTGAAGTCGATATCTTTTCAATGGCGGGAGTGAGCTAATCAAATATAACGGTATAAAAATTTACAAAATGCTCTCAAAAACACATTACTGTGCACAGCCATCGACATACCCGGCACTTTCGCCTCAAACTCTGTTGGGAAAGGCAGTATAGAATTACGCATTTTCGGTCTTAACATCAGCTCATTCTATTGGTAAGTTTATGAATTATTAACACTGTTACAATTGCCCCGTGTTACATTTGACCCCACTCTCCCCTACACCTACCCACCACCTAATTTGACACTCTACCAGCGGGTGCGTTTACCCGCATATCGCAGGCTGTCAACCCGAGTAGATTGTGTACCTAACCCGCATAGGATGGGGACTCAACCCACACACAGAAGGCAACCTACCCGTTCGCAGCGGGTACACAATCCGCACATGGCGTATTACCTGCGCTGCGTGGGTTGGGAACTCGCTTTCTGCGAGTAAAAATATCCGCTGGTAGGGTGTCCAAATCAGATGGAGGGTAAAGTACCCTCCAGTGGCGGCGTTCAAGGAGGAAAACGCCGCCAACCCGCCGGGATTCGAACCCGATATCTTTGATATTGCAAACCGATTCGCTACCAACTGCGCCACAGTCGACCTGACGTAAATCGACTGAAATGTCGGTGTATATCAGATTAAAATGAAGAACTGACGGCGGACTCAATACAGAAAGTAAAAAGGCTTATCTTAGACAATTGACATGAATCCGCCTATAGTGTTTTAAATATTAAGGAATAGTTTGGACAAATATTTCATTTGCATCGGGAAATATTTATTTATCCAGGCTTATTTTTACCAATAAAATGTGCTAAGAACGGTCTGCAAACTTCACCACAATGCGCCAGATTCGCGGACTGCAGAATATTCTGCTGAGCGTTCCAGCGAAATATTCTGCCGGCCAAGACGTGAAGGGCTGAAGCAGGCCGGCGCATGCATGGCCTTGGACCGGCGTATGCAGGCTGCTGCAGGTTCCGCAGAAAAATCCAGAAAGTCCACGTGGTCATCAGCATGCGTGATCAAGGCAACCTGCGTATAGCATGTCATCTACCTTGGCGCAGCGAGTTACACGATGCAAAACCTGCGTGATGCGCTTACTCCGTGGGCGCGAGTAACGCCTGCGGCCACAACCCGCTGCGGACGAGTGATTGACCCCGCCAGAGGAGGTTTCATGTATCCGCGCATGACGGGTTGCTGTTTTACCCGAGTATAGCGGGTGTTGACACCCGTGAAGCGGGTGAAAGCTACGATGATAACGGGATGCTCTGCGAAACGCGGGAAGCTAAACGGGTAGTCAGCCTACCCGGCAGCAAAAACTCGCGCAGAGCGGGTAATTTCTTCAAAATACCCGCGATACTCGGGCCAACTCGCAATCCGCGGGTTGAATTGTTTTCAGTGTGGGTTGTGCTGTATAGAATCCCCTATCGTCACATAACATTTGGCCATGGCCACAGTCAGATTATCGCCTCAGGTAGTCACTAAGTGACAATAATTTGAGTAGCCGGGTGATGTATGGTGATGAAAATAAGGATAAGTTTCTGCATAGCACAAAATCTAATTGAAAATACGATTGCTGGATGAATTTAGTACACGGTGATTGAGCTACCACTACAGTTATTCATTCCAAGTTGCAAATACCACGACCACCAAAGACCACAATCAGAGTGCTTAGAGAAACTTAGCACACTACCATTCTTATCTGATGACAACGTCGATTATTTTGCAGTGTAACAAATGAAGCGA